ACCAAAAATATCCTATTACAGATTTTCATCTATATATAAGACAAAAATTTCCCAGCATGCAGCTGTCAATACACCAGTATTTAAATTATCCGTATTGTTTTGCCTAATTATGTCAAAANCCTCACCTTTATATTTTCCTTTGAAGAAAAATTATATCGATACTATCGAAATCGAGTTGAGAACCACTGGTGGAAAAGAAATTGTCTTTTTTGAAGGCAAAACATTATTAGTTTTATCTTTTAAACAATTATAAATAGTGCTTAATTTTATTTGCTAATGTTAGTTCATCTTTGAGAAGTACAAAATGGTGCTCGATCCTAAAGATTGTATAAATTATTACTGTAATCAGGCGGGAGGAACGATATTCAGACCTGATTTCCTCTCACACAACAATTAGGAACTGGGAATTATTTTGCAGGACAGCAAATACAACGAGAATATGGATTTTTTGGAGATTTATTTCGTACATCTATTCCTATTCTTAGTAAAGTAGGAAAATATCTAGGACGAAAAGCGTTAAACTTTGCACCAAATGTTGGATCAGATGTAATTAGTGGAAAATCATTTAAAGAATCTACAAAATCACATTTAAAAGATATCGGTTCCGAAATTAAAGATGATGTAATTAAAAAAGTACATGGTGAATCTGGTATTAAAAAAAACCAATAAAAATATTAATTCAGTTGCAGAATAAAAGGCGAAAAACTAAAAGATATCTTTACTGAATGAGAAAATTGATCCACACTCTTGTCCGTGCACCAAAACCGAGTTAGATTTATTCAGTATTGTTTCGACTCAACTAGCTATTGCCAATACGTCAAAAGTTATAGTTCATCCTCTTGCGACAATTTTTCGGATAGTCGAGCACCAATGGAATTTTATGTATCCGGTTCTGGTGAAAATTATATCAATCTGAATTTAATTTATCTACATGTTCAAGCAAAAATCGTAAATAAAAACGGGACAGATACTGCTGCGGATGAAAAAGTTGCTCCTGTCAATTATTTTTTAAATAGTTTGTTCTCTCAATGCAGTGTTTTTCTAAATGACAAACAAGTAATTTCACAAGTTAATTATCCATATCGAGCAATTTTGGAGGCCTTATTATTTTACTCAAAAGAAGCACAAGACACCTTTTTAACAAGTGCATTATTTTTTAAAGATGCTGCACAACATATCAATTCCATAGAGGAAAATTATGAAGGAATGGCTAAAAGTTTAATATAGGTAAACAAAATAGACTAATTGATTTAGTCAGACGGCTTCATATTGATTTATCACACCAACCTAAACTGTTAATTAATAATGTTGATTTACGAATTAAATTAGAANAATACTACAATGATGAAAAAAGAAGAATTACTAATTAAATTTTAATCTTACAGCTGCTAAAATTTCCGACAATATAGAAACTTGGAATATTACATGTGAATTCGAGTCTGTAGACCACACATTCTTCTTCTAAAGGCCCTTTTTAATACTTCCTATAACCATCAGATTGGATAACCTATTACTTTGAGTTAAAGTTAAAAATAGGGTTTTAATGTTATTCGCCCTTCATAAGTCAGGACAGAAATAAAAGTTGATTTTTCGTGTATTTTCTACAATACAATTACTTGTATTGGCTAGTGAACATAGTGTGTAGTATTTAATGATGGTTAATTATCTTAGTGTAAAGCTGTTTGTTTAATTTTCAAGTGCTAATGTATTAAAAATTTATGAATAAAATTTAATCAACGAGTAAGGAACCATCGCAACAGAAGTCAAAATTGTGGCGTTTTATCTCTTAAGTGGTTTTATTCAAAAACTTTTTACATAATAAATTATTAGAAAATAACGAAGAGGTTTACTTCAAAGTGGGGTGAACAAAATCGCGCTTTCTGCACATAGACATACACAAATAAAGACACACACAGCAAAAAAAAAACCTGCAAGTTTGCGACGTTTCAAGGTCCCGAATCGATAAATGTAAAAATTTTGAGGTCATTTATTGACCGATGACCGTACCTTCCTCTATTATGTACCGGTATATAACAGCTGACTGATTGAAATTAGTGATATACGTAGAAACGTAAAGGTAAGTATGTTTGAATGAGGTCAATTATAATCTGAACATAACATCGAATTTGTTTCACTTATAAATTCAGTAATTGTAATGTTGTGGGCTCTCTAATAAAGATCCACTACCAAGAACAACCACATAAAAACGATTTTATCTACAACGCTTCTGTATAAAATGCATACAAAAGAACCCGTCAACAACGTCCACCTCCGAATGATGATCGTATAAGTTTTTATTTATATATTTACTAACTACTAAATAGAGTTGGGTGTGAAATTTCTTCTTCGATTAACGTTAACAATATTATATTTTATTACGCACCATATATTGGAGATACAAACCATTTAATTTTGTGTAGACATTAACACCACACAGGATTAAAGACTGTTTACAACCCAATGAAGAAAATTTTTTAAAAGCTACTTATGATATAGAATATAGTTAAGTCTGTTTACGGTTTATTTACTTACGGAATGAGACACGTGTACCAGCTCACTAGTGGCCAAGCGGTTCCGTTCCCCGAACCCTGGTAATTCGGTCGTGGGTTCGCGCTTCGCCAGAACAAGTTGACCACGTGGAGTTTTCCGCTTAGTTTTCACTTGTGTAACTCTTGAATAAGACCCATTACCCATATAACCGAAGGATCTCCCCTAGGCAGATCGTCCAAGTGTTGAGTTTTCGTAATTTAATAAAAAAGCAAGCGACAAGTATACCATCCGGGCGGGTTTGTATGGAAAAGTGACCCCATATTTCACGTGCTGGGCGCGTGAAGTTTACCGTATTTTCTTCACGTGTCAAATACCTATTAGCTTAAGGAAAAAGTTTCCCGTAGAAAATCATTCTGGATACATCCCACCTTGGTAGATTTTCCATGCGTTATGTTGCCACATCCCATCGAACCCATTATATAAAAATATTTACCAATAAATTAAAGGCCCAATAATAGACCGAGTGGATAAAACGCTAGTAGTTGGTCATAGGTTTCCGCCTTGTCAGCAGACTGTCCAGGGAAGTTTTAGGTGTTACTAACGTGAAGAAAATCCGAAAATAGAGGCGAGTTTCCCATAGAAACACCACTGAATACCGGTTGTGGGTTAGTGCCTTGTCAAAGAGGTTGTCACGTGGAGTTTTCTGGATTATCTTCACGTCAGTAACATTTAAATAAAGGTCAGTTTCTCATAGAAAGTTCTCTAAGAAAGCGTTCACCCGAAAGTCGCCCCCGTGCAAACATCCATACGAAAGCACTAAATTAAAGGTAGAATACATGTTTAGTTTTGAGAGTATTAGTATTACTATTTATTTATTTGCAAATTACATCTTAAAATAGATTTTTTAAAAAATTTTTATGTAGTATTTAACGAATTTATATAGTAAAAGTAAGACATATAACAAGAGACATAGCCGTTTCATTTGAAACAGACTTCATCATTTGTTTGTTTATCCAGCTGTGTTCGATAAACAAACAAATTTGCTCGACCTGGCTACTGACCTAATTTATTAAATTCGATTATTATAATTTAAAAATTTTTAAATAATATATTATAAATTAATTAATNTAAAATTTATATGAGAACACATCACATAGACAACAGTGAGCAACAAAATAGGTATAGTATGGGCATGGCATGCCAATTTTCGAGGATTTAGGTACGCCTAACTTTTCAATATCAAATGATGGAATTTTTATATTATATATTGCTTCTGTTAAGTTTAAAAAATTAAATTCAATTTGTTCTCCCTTGTAATAAATTATATCATACTTTTTATATAAATTAAATAAAATTTCATATACTTTACTATGACATTCCCAATATCCAATCTCCCTTGTAATAAATTATATTATACTTTTTATATAAATTAAATAAAATTTCATATACTTTACTATGACATTCCCAATATCCAAAATTGTTTTTAATAAGATAAATACAACCGTGAAAGAAATTTCCAAATGTAACAGATTTTTTATCTCGTGGTGATAAATTATCAAAAGTAATAAATTGATTGTAAAAATCTATCTTCCCAAAATCGTTTTTATGTCTTGCTGCAAACCCAATTTGTCTACATAATGTGTTGAATGGAAGATTTTCATCTTGAATCGTGAAAGCTTCAAAGTCAATGATAACTCCTATATCAGAAACTATATTATAATACACAGTATTAATTTTAATAAAATATAACTTTAACACTTACCATTTGAGTATTTTTGAGTGTAGAAAATCTAATTTATATTAAAATATATCAATTAAATAGAGACATATAAAAAAAACTATATATTGTAAATTTTTTTAAAAATATATCAATTATGTATAGATATAAAAGAAAATATACTTACAACTCATCTTGTTACAGCTTATTAAATGCCTAAGCTTGCAAATTATCATTGATTCTAGTGACTGATTAGATTAGTTTTAAATATATTTTAAAAATTTATATGATTACATTTATCCATTTAATGTTAACTTATTATCAATAATATTATCATTTTAATTAATTTCTATACATTTAAATTTATATTACCGAGTATTTATTTAAATATAATTAAGAAAGAGTTTTAAAAATATTAGACTCCAAGAAAACGAACCTCTGATTATAATTCCTTAATATTTTGTTTTTCATATGATAGATATAAACCCTACAAAATAACTATAGAATTTTTATGTCTAACTGTTAATTTTTTAAAAATAATTCATTTATCTGTTAAGCCAGATCTCTATATCTCACACTTCTCTGTTGTGGATGCAAGCGATGGCGAGTGCACATTTGCAATGATTCTGGCCTCTTCCCATTTAACTATGGATCCATCTGTCTATGCTATTTTTGATAACGCTGTTGTATATCGACTCTTTGCTACGTCGTACTTATGCTCTTTTATCTTTACGTTAAGATTTTTATTTGTGACTCCTATATATTCTTTATCTATTCCTAATTGGTCATTCTACTACGGTATTGCATACACTCCTGGTTGTTCTTTTTCATTAATTTTTTCTTTGTCATTTCTTAGCGACGTATATAAGGTGGGAGCTCTTTTGTATACAATATTGGTGTTTTTGTAGTTGGTAATTTCTTTCATAACCGGAGATAGACGTTTATTATATGTGAATTTTGTGATGTTACTGCTTCCATCCGGTTTTTTCTTCTTGCCCTTTCTAGAATCGTTGTATGCGGTAATTAGGTATTTTACAGATCTTGTTCCAAATCCCAACACTTTCGCCACTTCTTTACTTTTATTCAGCTCTTCTATCGTGTCCATCATGTTAGAGCAATACAGAAACGCTCTTCTGATTAGAGCCCTAAAGGCAGAGAGTTTGTATGCAATTGGATCATTAGATGTTGATGGTATATATATCGGATCATGAGTAGGCTTGATATACACATTTGTGCACAGTGATCCGTTCTGAAATTTGATGTTAATGTCCAAGAAATGTAACACGTTGCTACTAATCTGTTCCAGGTTCAGTTTTAAACCATGCTGGTTGGAATTCATTTGGCTCAAAAATTGCTCTATCTTTGTGTCGTTCTTCCATATAATAAGCACATCATCAACGTATATTTTGTATAAGATTATGTCTTCGTTAAAGTTGATAATTGTACTGTGCTCCATTTTTCTTACAACCAACTCACAGAGCAGGCCAGACATTGGGCTGCCCATCGGGACTCCCTTTAACTGTTTAAAAATTTTACCTTCGAAACCAAAAAATGATTGAAAGCATACAAAATCTGCCATCATCTCAAGGTTCTTGCGATACTTGGATGCATTCGGGTGCAACTCACATAATAGGTTTAACAGTGCATCAAAACACAAAGCCAGATTTATCGATGGATACATGCTTTCGAAGTCCATAACAGATCCAACTTCGTTATCCATTAACGATAGCTCATGCAGATCATTTATCAAGTTAAACGTGTTTTTTGTGACAAATTGGTAGTCTTCAATCAGCTCCGACAAGTACTTATGCATACGTTTTTCCAGCTTATAAGTGGGTCCTTTACATTTCTCTACAACTGGCCTAATTTCGTTGTTGTTTTTATGCGTTTTCGCAAACCAAAACAACCTGGGTACACTTGGGCTGGTGATATGAGCTCCTTTCAGGAAGGGGAAGATTGATGTTATGGGCGATTTTTCCAATTTCCTTAATTTTCTATCAATTTTACTTACTATACCACGGTCAGCTCTTTCACATTCTGTTTTTCTTATGTAGTCTTCTAGGGCTTCATTATATCTTTGCTTCTTCATTATCACTATATGCTTACTTTCATCAGCCCTACTGACTATTAGATTATTGTCCTTCAACCATTTTCTTGCGTGGTTAATGCCAGCTTCCTCACCATGCTTCTTTGTGTGTTTTTCGGTTATGAACGTTGCTTTCCATCTGAAATAGTCTTTGTCAATTTCATTAATACCTACGAGCCCTCTTTCTATTTCAGCTATTTCAGCTATATCAGCGATGGCGAGTGCAGATGTGCACTCGCCATCGCTTGCATCCACAACAGAGAAGTGTGAAATATACAGATCTAGCTTAACAGATAAATGTTTAAATTATAAAGATGCAACCATTTTACCGTCGGCATGGAAATATAAAATCAGAAAGAACTCGTAAGAGTATACATCAAACAGGCTCGATAAAACCTGAGTTACTATATAAAAAATGTTTACATATTGCATTGTGGGGAATTTCCGTATTTTGTATTTCATTTTATTTTATTTTATTTTGATTTACTTATTTATTGTATTAATTTCGTTATGCTTGTTTACTTAATTTTATTTTAATATATGTTCTAATATAATTTAAAATTTGAATGTGTTCGAAAAGCCATTGATTCGAACGTCTTTAACCTGATGATGGCTATGAAATGGGTTGAAAACGTTTGTTTAGCTGAATAAATGTGCTTTCTCAGTATTAAGGTGTGTTGACTTTATAATGTTAAAGAATCTGAGTGTGAATAGGAGAGTTTATAAAACTTCTTCCGTTAGGCGCGCCGGGTACATGTGTTACCCCAGCATTTCGGTGTGGCTTCATGTGAAAATTTTTGCAATAAAATAGAAATAACATTATCCAAACAAGTGAATGACAGTTTAGAATTGTTCGAAGATTGTTGATAAATAAACGTATGACGTCGAAACTTCATATAAAGTGACAATGACTCGTCAATAATGTTCATAATTATTTCATAGATAAACAATTTATAATTCATTTTAAGTCTGCTATCAAATAGAATATAAAGATAGATGATTGAATTTACGTAATGAAGTAATTTTATTTTTCATTCAAATAGAGCAATATGACTAATGTATAATAAACGAATAAGTAATGAAATATTTAATTATAATAATAAATAACTCGTAAAACTTTTTCATAAAATTGTTATAAGGTTATAAAAATATGTAATTATCAATTTTTAAATCATATGCGTAAGAAATAATATTAATTCGTATTAAAATAAATTTTTATGGGAGCAGTTAGATAGATGACAAACCCGAGTGTATTGTTAAAGAAAAAGTATAATTTAAAAACGCAAACCATTACTAATTTCAAGATGAGATGATATATTTTAAATTCTTTAAATTAAAAATATAATTACAAATTGCAGCTCGGCATTCTAACAATATCACAATAAACATTTTCTTGTTCAAGCGAAACAAACATTTATAAAATATTGGATTGAAATTTAAAAAAAGTGAAACTTGCTAAATATGATTTAAAATTATATTTTAAGTATTTATGTTGAAGTAAATAAGTGTACAGTGGCTAAGGATTTATTGAATAAACACTGTATATTTTAAGTTAAAATGTCAGATAATTTTCGTAAAAATAACAAGTACAGCAAATAATCTAGAAATAAAACAATTTGAGTTGTATTAGTTGAACATTTTCGATACATTCAAATTTTAATTGTGTTGTTAATATTAATTTTTTTTTCAGTGGATGATGTTCACACTGGTGCTGTTCCTTTCGCTGATTGTATCTTTCATCTACTACATCTTTATCCAAGCTCCTCTAAACTTTCTGGCTATGAAATTGTTAGGTTCAAGATCAAAGAAGAAAGCTTCAGTCGAAAATTGCCAAATAACGACCATAAGTATGCGGCTTCAATCCGACTGATATGTACAGATTGTGAAAAGCAGGTTATTAATTATGTTGAGCTGTGTTTAACCGATGTTTTAATTACTTATATTACATGAAGAAATTTAACATATACTAAAATGTATTCACATGTTATAGCACTTTTTTAATAATGAATACTTAGAAATTTTCATTTTGTCAAACAAAATGAAACATTCTAAGAGTAAATATCAATATTTTGTATACTAATGGTCAAAGTATTTTTGTGTTAATAAATTACTTAAAAAACTAAAAAATTATGTGCATTTATGATATATTTTAAATAATAAAAATCAAATGTAAATGTGTACTTTATACTATTTTCGAATTTTTAGAATTCATATGAATAAAGTGGGTGATCGGTCAACGAACATAATTTGTTCGCAATCCGAATTGTTCGTTAATCGATTATCGATTTACCATAGGTTTCTATGGTAATTTGATTAATTCGTTCTGGAGACCCCCAAATTATAAAACATATACCGTATTTTGACGAGTATAAGTCGCACTTTTTTACTACTTTTGGGGGCTCAAAATCATGGTGCATCTTATACTCGACAGGTAACCATTTTTACAGTGAAATTACCTACAGTAGTGGTCCACTCTACGGACCAACCTGTGCAATGGTCCGTTAAGCAGATGGTCCCTCAACCGAATGGCTAGAGTACCTAGATTATCAGAGTTGACAAGAGTCATCGCCGCCATGTTCTGTCGACTGTCATCACATGACCTCTGAGTTTACAATAAGAAATGACGATTATTTCAGTTTAATAAAGGTATCGATTCATCCATCCGTCATATTCTTGAATAAAAAATCGAATAAAATGCATCTTTAGACAATACCATTAAAACAGTTTTTTTCTAAATTTTTTGTCTCAAAATAGGGGTGCGTCTTATACTTGACAGCGACTTATACTCGTCAAAATACGGTATATTTTTTTACTACGTTATTCATATGTAATAATGAAAATACACAATCCTGCATTTTATTAGTAATGTTTTTTCCGTTTGTGGGGATTAAAGAATCTGCCCAATGTCGATTGCTTTTCTGTCTTTTTCATGATTTTTGAGAAGTAACTAATAGCATTGTAATTGTAGAGATCCCTACGCCTATTAACCTCAACCTGATTTAGCTGCCATTTTAAGACCGTTGTTCTGACATACTCCCACTTCTTCAAAAGATCTTTAATAGCAGATATCGAAATTAAATTTCTTTTTCAGAAGAAAACGTAAAAAAATTGTTTTTGTCAGAAATATAAAAGGCTAGAATTACAAGGGAGAGTTTCAAAATTCGGGAGAATACTATCTAATCAGAATATACTGGGTTAAATGTCGATGTCGACGTGTCCCGCGTTCCGAAAAGTTTCGAATTGTTGCCTGAAGACAAGAAAAGACCAATCGATATTCGTTATTTTACGTCGCTTATTCTTGTGTTTGTTTAGTAAAGTCTTCGTTGTCCGATCATAAATATCTTTTGCGAAAGTGTTCGTTATTTAATCTGTTCGTTAATCGATCTGTTCGTTAACCGATCAACCATTGTATTAATGTGAAAACTAACGGAGAATTGTCTAGATTGCGTATACGATTTTAAATATGTAGTTTGTTTCAAATAGATAGATTAATTATTACAATTTTTATTGCTGATGCTGTCCACTTTCTGATTAGAGGTAAGAAAGGTTATGGCAGAAATTACCATTGCGTATGTATAACATTAGTAGGCACAAAAATACTTCTGGTAAAATGACATACTAAACATAGCTAGCTGCTGTAAAGTTATTTGTTTTCAATTTATTCGTGATGTAGTAATATATTTCACAAATTACTTATGCTTACATTTGACTAGTAAAGAATTTTCTTATGAATGTTCCATTTGTATTAATTTCCAGATTAATTGTTTTTGAGGAGTTTTCCTCCTCTGACTGAGAGATCTTCGCAAATGTAGCAATTCGCTTTATGGTTGAAAAACTGCACTCAACAGAAACACTTGTAGATGGTAAGGTGAACAATAATGATATTAAATCATATATTACTTTTTGTACATGTTTATTTAGATTGTCATCAGTTATATTTTTATCTCTAAGAGGGACTTGTCAATGTCGTCTAGATACGCGTGTATATTTATTTATTTAAACTAAACGACACTGTGGCCATTAACCTATTCCAAGTGTCAAAAATAAAAAAAATACATACATAAAAAATAAACAATCAACTAAGAAAGAACAGATATAAATATTGCAGTTCACTACATCATTTAGATTAACCAAGAAATTTGTGATAAAATTTTCTTAAAGAATTAAAACTCTGTCGGAAAAAATTGTTTTACGTAATATTTAAAATTATTAACATCTGAAAATGATAAAAATTTCGAAAATTTTATGTCTGAATATTTCAATACAATTTTGTATCGATGTATCCATTATGTTATAAAAAAGACTTTTATATGATTCCTTTGTAGACACAATATTAGTAAGTTTCATTCGTTTTTTCGATAGAATTTCAGAAAAATTTTTATTTTCCTTCCGAAACATTCCAAATGAAATCAGTCAGCCTCTTCTTATCTCTTGTAATAAGTCAATGAACTGCTTTATTCTACTAACACAATATGTTCTATTAGAATTGATTTGTAATTCATTAATTAAATACAATATCTGACTGCATTTATTTGATAAATAACTAGTAATATAAAGCGAAAATAAAAATTTATTAAATAATTGTATAAGCTTCTTACAGCAGTTGTACTATCAACCATATTCAAAAACAAACGTTTTAATTTTAATTTGTACTTCATCACTCAGTTCACAATATTGTAATTTCATCTGGTAGGTGTGACTAAAAACAAAAACGTTTTTTCACTTTCAGCTCTAAGGCATAGGACTTTTAAATTTTTTTAGAAATGAAAAAAATATCCTGTACAGTTTGAAAAAATATTTTACATTCTTTTGTATATTCAAAAAATTGAAAGAAAGTTAGGTTCAATCTGTGAACATAAGAGTATACGAAAATAGCACGGTTCGAGACTTCTTTAACTCTAGCTTTCACATCATTATGTTGTTTGGTCATTAATGCAGCACCGTCGTATGTTTGTTCCTCTAATTTTTAGTATATTAAAATTTGACTAATTCACTCTTAATGT